CTAACAAAGTAAGATACCACAGGATTCGCCATCTAACAATTCCACAGACTCAACCTCATAACTACAGAGTCAAACCAAAGGAAAGGATCCACTATTCGATTCTCAGCTCAGAGACTCACCAAGCACAGCATTTTATGTACTGCAGTCTCTGGGACTTCTGTTTCCTACCCAGGAATACCAGCAATAGTGCTGACAACAGTCCTTTGTCTCCCAGAAACGAACATCCACATATCATCTCTATATTTAAGTGGGATGCCACCTAGTCATTCTGGCTCCAACTAAATGTGTCTTGAACAATAGGTAATTGGAAAAATGAGAATACATGCAAATCTTTCCTCTTGATTTACCACGAATCTTCTGTTAAGTACAAATCAGTTTGTCTACAGCCTCAATGTCTTGCTAAGTGACTGAACCTTTATCAGAGAACTCTCATGGACAAGAGAGAAAGGAAAGATTTCCTAGCCAGACACACTGCTCCAGTAACATCTCCAAAGCTGGGAAGCCTTTGTCAGGCACACAGGGAGCCACAACTGCATGAAGTCCCAGTTCAGCACTGCCAAGCTCTTCAAGGCCTCTGCTCTGCACCCCAGATGTGGGCAGCAGTTAGCTTCAGCCACAGCAACAATAAAAAAAATGATAAACCAACTTTATATTACTTAGCTGTGATAAGGTGAAATAAAGGGTGTGCGCTCAGGTCAAAGCTAGAAACTGTTTCCAGATGGACTAACAGATAGATGGTTATGAGTTGAGCCCATACTAGCCTGGGAATCCTGGTCACCAATTACTTAAAACCTTGAGCAGATTCCGTAACTACTGTGAGCCCGATGGAGCAACGGCTGCAAAGGTCATCCAAGGCCAGGGTCAGTGTATGTCCAGTCCCCACAAGGGAACATCAGTGTCTGCATTTATACCCCCAGAAAGGCATCATCCCCCTTAAATGGCCCAGGAAGCGCCTGCCAGAGGAAGTCACGTCCATGCTGGGACGAGAGCCACATCAAAGATTATTCTCAAGATAAGAGTTGTACAAGAAGGATTTTCCACTTAAAGGCAGCCATTTAGTACACTGCTTAAGACGGCGGCATAGAACACCTGCATCCCAGTCAGTGTCTAGAGGTGAGTTCTGGCTTTACTTTCGATTTCAGCTTCAAGTTCCAGGCTCTTTGCCCCGCCCTGGCTGTTCTGGGATTTGGGGAGTGAATCAGCAGATGGAAGACTCTCTCTGTCTCTCTTCCAAAATAAGCAAAGTGATTTTTTTTTCTATATAGAGAAAGGACTTTTGGTACTTGATCATCTTACAGAAATTAAGCCTAGCAGAACAGTGGGGCCCAACTGGTGGCCAAATCATATAAATTACAGACCACCTGGGTTTTGCATGCCATTGTGTATTAATTGCAGTGAGTTTCCCCCCTTAAACCCTTATTTGTTTTAAAATCAGGAAAACAGTTCTTTCTGAGGTTACAGCGAGCACACAGATACCCTCAGCTACTCACTGCGGTTCCCTCTGGCACACACAGCCCCATCAGGGTCCCCTCTATGCTTGCCCGGTTCCCTTCAGCACACACCACCCACTGTCAAGGCCCCCTCTATGCTCGCCCGGTTCCCTTCAGCACACACAGCCCCATCAGAGTCCCCTCTATGCTCGCCCGGTTCCCTCTGGCACACACTGCCCCATCAGGGTCCCCTCTATGCTCGCCCGGTTCCCTCTGGTACACACAGCCCCATCAGGGTCCCCTCTATGCTCGCCCGATTCCCTTTGGCACACACAGCCCCATCAGGGTCCCCTCTATGCTCACCCGGTTCCCTCTGGCACACATGGCCCCATCAGGGTCCCCTCTATGCTCGCCCGGTTCCCTCTGGCACACACTGCCCACTGTAAGGGTCCCCTCTAGTCGTTTCAGCTCTTCAGGAGCAAGAAACCCTGAGGCAAATGTTCTAGAATAAGCTCACAATTCCCAGAACAACTCTGAGCAGGCCACGTTGAAGAGGATGCGCATGGGTCTAACCCATTGCTTCTCATGTCCAACCAACCTCCCAGTCCTCATTCCTTCCCATTTGCTTACTCCTTCTGAGAATGCCTAAATGCTCACCACGTAAATCCATGTGCCTGCCTAATGATTACCTCTGACCAGTCAATGTGAACAAACAAGAAACTGCTTATGGAGTATCAGAAACATCTGTATCAAACATAAAATCAGTCCCTTTGAATGGCTTTGGAATAAGCCATTCATGATATAGAGAAACATATATCATTAAGTTTATCTGTTCTTGTCTACTTGAACAACAGCATGAAAAACAGAGAGACCTTCTACCTGCTGGTTCATTCCCCAAATGCCCACAACAGACTATGACTGGGCCAAGTTGTAGCTGGGAGCCAAGAACTCAAGTCCAGTGTCCCAGAGGGTGACAGGGCCCTAGTGCCTGAGCCAAGCACTGTCCATCTTCCAGAGCTGGCATGAACAGGGGGCTGGAGAGGATGCGGACGTGAAACTCAACCCCAGCTGCACCTTCGTCGGCTGTACCGTGTCTGCCCCCAGAATACATCATTCCATTAACAGAAAAGACTGCATGGAGGTGGGACACATTGTGCAGGATGATTCAGTTCTTTAAAACAGGAAAAATGACCTCAGACTACAAGGCCAGAAAGCAGCCGTGAGGAGCGGGCCTTCAGGGCAGCAGGGAAGACCAGGCACCCAGCGTAGGACCTGGGCTGGACGCCGGGCTGTGGTCCCGACTCCAGCTTTCCACCAGGCAGCTCACAGGGCAGTGGCCAAGCTGGATTTCCAGCCCTGATTGGTCACCTTCCCAGCTCTGCTCACTGCAGGTGTTCATGGATTCTCTCTCTCTCCCCCTCCCTCCCTCTCAAATAAATAAATACTAGCTATTCCTACTAAAATTTTCACTTAGTATTAGGCTCTCCCTTGGCCACCTCCACCTTGCCTACAAACACCCAATCTTACTTAGTATAAAACAAAATCTTAGTAGTATAAAACAAAGTCGAGGTATGCCAAGATTAGCTAGAACAGGGGCCCTAGTCCACACTGCGCATGCCTGTCTTCTAACACAACCCTTTCGGAACATTCAGGAATCCTGTAGCTCAGTTGGAAACTGAGCTTACTGTAATTGCCAGAAACGCGTCTCTTCACCATGGGTAAATGTTACCACTCAGCAAAGCCAGATGGAGGTGCTGGCAAGAGCTGCAGCCTGGCCGGAGCTGAGTGGGACCACTCGTGACCCTGACACTGGCCCAAGGCAAGGGGATCCAGAACAAGTGTGCAACACAGACACAGCCCTCAAATACAGAGGTTCACCCAAACTGTGACAACTGTGGGCTTATCCAACAGGCGGAGTAAGGGACAGTGTCGGCTCTGGGCTTGGGGACCCAACTCTTCCCCATGCGGCATTCGGTTCTAAGAGTTTCTCCTCAGTAATACCATGCATAGTCATTCAAATATTCTCAGCATCCAACCATAAAAATGACTCCCAACACTCTTCTCCTGCCTGTTCTGCGAGTTTTCTTCTGTTGTCTCTCTTATTATTCAGTTAAGAGGTATGTATTTCTGTTATCTCGAAAGTTAATCTTGGTCTCTCTTACCAAAACAGTGATATACTCAAAAAAATCCCATCCTCATGTGGGCAACCGACTTTAAACATGCTTTTTATTGTGTGTTTGTTTGCCAAACTAACTGGCAAGGAAGAGAGAGGAGGCCGCAAGTCCTGCATAAAGTTTTCCACCATCTGATTCTTGAGTCGCATTCTTCCCTGGCTGCACGCCCACTGCAGACCCCACATGCAAGAATTCCCTGTGTGGGCTTCCACACGGGCACACCCCGAACTTGGTGCAGAGGAAGGAAAAACTCCTGACTACCAGGTGACGCTCAGAGTAGGCACTTTCGTGCCTCCCAAACCAGTTTTCTCCAGCTGTGCCCCAGCGTTTACTTCCAACTTTCTCTACCAAAGGCAAGCAGGGAGAAGGGCAGAAAATAACATAATGTCCAAATGAATACACCCACGGGAAACATTTGGCTCATTCTACAAGAAACCAACCGGAGGGGAAGTTTTTTGTTTGTTTTTTGTTTTGTTTTTCTTCTTTTAAAAAAAGTTTATCCTCCCAACTTCTGACAGTGGGAGGCAGGGAAATCTCAGCGCTGTAGCCTGGGAGGACCCCCAGTTTACTGATGGAGAACCCAGTCCCGAGTAGCTGCGACTCGCACCTCCACACTCTGGGGTAGGATGACTAGGTCTCCATCCTGACTGCCAGAACCAGGCTCTGACACCCAAGTTCTGCCCTTGTGAATTAAAAGCTCCTGGTGAGAGCCCCAACAACAATTAGCGTGCAAGCACTGCACCTGCCAACTACCATCAGCGCTGTAGTACCTGAAACCCAAAGAGAGAGAGACAGTGAGTGAGTGAGTGAGTGAGTGAGTGAGTGAGTGAGTGTGTGTGTGTGTGTGTGTGTGTGTGTGTACACAGCAAATCCCCAAAACCTGCTGGTGGGCTCAGGCCAGAGGAGCGGTGGTCCTCCAGCCGCCTTCTTTGCAGCTGGGACTCCAGGGCACAGGTGAAGGGTGCGGAGGAAGCCAGCCTTCACCAGGTGCGGGGGGAGGGAGCAAGCCAGGGTGCGAAGACACCGCACAGCCACCTGATGCCACGCCACTGCGCTGCTTTGTCGTCAGCCAACTCGGTGGGGGTTACTTTCCCCCACCCCCAAACCAGAAGTCTCTTCGTAATTCAGCAACAAAGGTGTGGGCCACATCCTCCCGCCGGCAGAGCGCCACACGCGGCAAGTTCCCTCCGACGATCGCCTTCTCCCAAGGGCCCAGCACCGGCGGGTCCACGCGCCGCCCAGGGCCACCCCGTGCGGCTCCGAAATGACCCCCGCGCCCACTCAGCACCCCTCTTCGCGACGGCGCCCCTCGTCCAGCAGGGCCGCTCAGAACCCGCGCCCACGCCCGCCCCGGTGCCCGAGGCCGCCCGCGCCCCCCGGCCCGCCCGGCGCCCACCTGCGGCAGGCGAGCGGGGCCGCTCCGGCTCCCGCGCCCGCAGGGAACTCCTCGGCCCCGTCATGCCTGCGGCGCGCTGCGGACGGGCGCCCAGCCTCGGCCCCGGCTCTGTCCGACGGCGGCGCTTGCCCGCCGGCTGTGCCCGCCGGCGCCCGGCTCGCTTCCCCACAGCCGGCGGGCGTGCGGCCGGGCGGGGCGCGAGGGCCGGGGGCGGGCTCGGGCGCAGACGGACGCGCCGGGCAGCCAATCGGCGCCCACGGCGGGGCCGGGCCGAAGGGGCGGGCGGAGCCTTGCGTGCCGTCGGGGTCGCCGCCGCGGGCGGGCTGGGTGGCGCGTGGGCGTCGAGGGCTCGGGCGGAAGCTGCTGGTGGGCGGGTGGGCGTGCGGGCGAGGGCTCCTGAGGAAACATCCTGCGAATGCCTCCTGGGCGGGCCTGCGGTCTCTTTGGTGGACGTCTGATGAAGTGCGACTCCTGAGGGTGCGCTGACGGGGCGGAGGCCCGCGGCTCTTCCTCCTGGGCGTGATGCCCTGTCCCCTCCTCACCCTCCGCCTGGGGCCCCGGCGCTGAGGGGGCAGCAGTCGACCCCCGGGCCGGGTCCTCTAGGTTGGACACAGTTTCTGATCTTTTCCCTGCGTCAGCTTACTCAGAAGTGGCAGTGTACCTTAGGAATGTGTGCATGATTGACATAACTAATCCTCGCTCTAAAAAAATGATTTGGCAAAAGGAAAAGTAGAGGGGTGCAAAGCAGTAAGACCTTAAGCAGCTCAGGCGAAGCAGAGGTTCGCAGTAAGATGTTCCCCCCCCCCACCCCCCCGCATCCTCGGTCCGGAGGACATTTTTCTTCAGACAAAAACTGATGAACACTTCCTCTCTCTCCCGATGTACACGTTCCCAAAGACAGAACAGGCTCGCGTGTGAAATGTCCTGGCACCTTTTGAAAGCGAAACTTCCTTAACGAGAGAAAGATGTGGAGAACAGCCTGGAATGTTCGGAGGCTGCGGTTTGCCGCGAAGCAGTGTCTGCAAGAAACGGAATCGCTTCTCTCCCTTTTCTGAGCAGGACAGAGGGTTTAGGGGATCGTGGTCTCTGGCGACTCGCAGGAGAGCCCAGCGTGAGGGCCACAGCGGCCAAGGAAGGGGCCTGGCACCGTGGGCCGTGCCTGGCATGCCTGCTGCAGGTTTGAGTTCAGGGACTGTTGTCCTGCCCAGCTGGCTGACCAGGCAAGTCAGTTCTAGGACAAAGTTTGAACCTAGGGCTGACCTCTCAGCCGCTCTCCTTCTATAACCCGTGATTCACAGAAGATAATAAAAATGTTTCCAAACTCCACTGCATGTTTTGGGAAAAAAAATCCCCTTCGTCCAAATCAGATATTTCACACGGAGGGGTTGTGTTCTGCGGCCGTAAACCCCGCTTGCGTGTATGGAGCCGTGGTACTCAAGCCTCAAATGACGGTGCCTGATCAAACTTAAGTTTATGAGCAGTGACCAGTACAGACTGTCTATTCTAGAAACCGAAAATTCCAGGATTCATTTATTGCACTATAATAAAATTAAGTCCTTGAACCACAAAACAAATCAGGCAGTTCCTGCCCCCTCCTCCCACAGCATATTTATGCACACAGCTGTTAGAACTTGGCCTTAAACCCTTTCAATTAATCCACACTTAAGATCCTATGCTTAGCTGTAATGTTCATTGTTACTCCAAGCCTAAGTAAGCTGCTGCTTAGTGTGGAACTTTAAAAGACCCAAGCCTGCAACTGGGACTTGCTGCTCATCTGCATTCTGGCCCCCATGGCCTTGCACACGTTTTTTACACCTTTCTCCATATGCCTCAGTTTCGTCGCCCATAAAATGGGGCTTATAAGAGGCTCTAACCTCATGGTAAACTGGGGGGAGGGCTTATTGGGAATTAAATGATTAAAGATGTGCAAACCTTAAAATACTGTTTGGTATGTAATATATAAATGTTGGTCAAATAAAGGGCATGCATGTGAGTAGAGACTTCCCGTTGGCTTTCCGGACCTCGTGTGTGATTTACAACATTGCTTAACAATTAGGAGATCATTGACTCAAAAATGTTGAGTTCACGTATTGGGAACTCACAGAGTTCCATTTGCTGTTTACTTTTCCAAATGCCTGTAACAGCCAGGGCTGGGCTGCAGCCAAGGCCGGGAGCCAGGAGCCAGGAGCTGGATTTCCTAAGCAGGCGGCAAAGACTCCAGCCCTGGAGCCATCACTGCAACCGCCCGGGATACACACGACAGGAAGCTGGAGTTAGGAGCCGAGCCGGCTTCAGAGCCAGGCGCTCTGCTCTGGGGTGTGGCCATCCCAGCGCGCATCTTAATCTCTGGGCTGTATACTCACACTCCTGGTATTCTCAAAAATACTTTTGTCCTGAACTAGGTGTCCTGCACGGACTCCGGGGCATCTGTAGGACCCAGCTCAGGCTTGAAAAACCTGTGAAGAGATAAATGGAGAGGGTCTAGAATAGAGTGAGCTGCAGCTCAGAGAAGCCCTCTGGACTAACAGGCTCATCTGGATTGGTGATGTCAACCTACGTCAGAGCAGCCAGCAGCTGAGCCCCGGGTCCAGAAAGCCCCTGATGTGACTGAAGCTGACAGAACGTCCAGGGCTGCTCTGCGTCATTGCGGGGAGAGTAGTGCTGTGGTCCAAACCAGGAAAGCAAGCTGTTCAATAGATTCTAGTATTACCAGTATTTAATTACAGTTTTATTTTTGTTTTGTTTTCATAAAACCATTTGAACTCTGCACAATGGAAGGGAAACATCCAGAACCCTTTGAAGAAGACATTGCCAAATGCATTTTCCATGACTGTGTCAAGCCCGCTTCATTTTACACCAGGGTCATACACTCAGTCATATCCGGTCAGCCTCAGACAAGGCCAAGTTGACAGTGGGTCCGAGCGCCTTGAAACCCACTACACCTAGTTTGGGCAAGAATGACAGACTTTCAATGACCCATCCTCCTCTAACGGGGAATTTGCAAAGGGAGCTGATGGATCAGTTGCTGCAATTTGCAAACCATGAATGCGGTCTCGCACATGGAATGTGCTTGCTGGACGAGACCTTGACTGTGCGTGAGTGAAGACGATGATCTGGCTTGCTGCTACAATCCCTGAAATCTCCCAGCCGCCACTCAGGTCCAACCGTCCTTACCCAAATTCCTTGTCTCTTACTGTGCGTGTTGAAAACTCAAATACACATAGCATAAATTGACCACTCCAACTATTTTTAAGTGTGCAGTTCAACAGCATTAAATACACTCATATTATTTGTGCAGCCATCACCGACCATCTGACTCTAGAACCTTCTCATCTTGCCAGATGTAAAACTCCATGTCCGTTCAATCCAGTCCCTGGCAACCAGCACTCTACTTTCAGTCTCATGAGTTTTACTGTCTTAGGCACCTTCTCAGTGCCTCATGAGCAGATCAGTGCCACCGTCACATCACCCTGCCTTACTTTCTGCCCAGGAATGACACCCCAGGAAGGCCCTGAGCAGATGCCAGCCCCTTGATCTTGAACTTTACAGCCTCCAGCACCGTACAATTTTCATTCTTCAGAAATTATCCAACCTCAGGTATTCTGCAATAGCAGCTAAAAGCTGCTACAATACATTGTAAAATGTGTTTTGAATTGTGTTGTTGATAAAATTATTGCAAGAACATATATTGAATGTGTAACATAATCAGTCAACTCTGACAATGCTATCCTATTAGTCATGTATATTTACGTATTTACAAGCCCCAGGTCATTTGGAAAAGCCGTTGTTGGCAGGGAGCACCGAGACTTTAAACACCAGTTAGCGTGATAAAGATCAGCCCAGGGTCAGCATGAGGAACTGAAAGATGAGTGGGTGGTGTGTGTGGAGAAGAATTTCATGATTTTGTATAGATCTAGACAAGAACTTTGTGTTTCCTTTAACTTTTTTCTTTTAGTTTTGAGCAGATTGGATGGCTCTGTTCCTTCCCCATCCTTGCCAGGCCACTGCACCGGCAGGTAGCACAGCCCTCTCCTCGCTCCTCACCTTGACCTTGACTTGGGGCTTTTATTTTAAAGATTTATCTATTTTTTTTTATTAGAAAGGCGGATATACAGAGAGGAGGGACAGAGAGGAAGATCTTCCGTCTGATGATTCACTCCCCAAGTGAGCACAACGGCCGGTGCTATGCCGATCCGAAGCCAGGAGCCAGGAACTTTTTCCGGGTCTCCCTTGCGGGTGCAGGGTCCCAAAGCTTTGGGCCATCCGACTGCCTTCCCAGGCCACAGGCAGGGAGCTGGAAGGGAAGTGGGGCTGCCGGGATAGAACCGGCGCCCATATGGGATTCCAGGCATGAAAGGCGAGGAACTTAACCACTTGCGCCACCGCGCCACCGCACCGGGTCCAACTTGGGGCTTTGCACTGCCAGCTTGACTCCCCTTGGTCTCTGTGGATTCTGCTTGACCTGCTGTTCCTCTTCAAGAAACAACTGTACTCCAGCAAGCTGAGTGCCCACACTGCCTCTGTACCTCCCAGGTGTGTCTAGTGTTCCCTCTGCTCCCAGGACCTGGTCCTTCTCTCACCACTCTTGACTGCCAGCCTCCAGAGCGAGAGGACAAAGACTTCAGTCTGTCCCCTGAATCCAGAAGAATGAGCAGTGAGTCCCTGCGGAGCACGGGGATTAGGCCTCCCTGCCAGCTCGCTGCCCACTTTCCTTTCCTTCCTGAGCAGACTCCGACTCAGATGTCCCTGTGGACAAAGTCACCTTCCAGGGACAGTGTCCCCTCTCATGCCTAGCAAGCTATGGGCAGCAGGACCCTCACCGTGTAAAGTGCACAAAGGACAAAGACAGTTTTGTAAACTGAGCAGGTAGAACTGCATGCAGAGCTGCCACTTGAAAACTGGCCAGATGCTTGACCAGGGCTGAAGTCCCAGGAGCCACAGCATCCTTCTGATGTGTATAGCAGCCTTTGTGGCTTTGCTGCCTCCACCCCACCTGGTTTTTCAGTCCGTCCAGGAGTGGGAGAGAGAACCATGTTGTTCCCCTTTCTCTTATTTCTGAGAACCCCTGGAACTGGCAATACTTTCAATAGTTGATTGCTTTTCTGGCCTAAGATGGCGGAGGAGAAGAGGGGCTCATGGAGACCTCTAGTTCC